GGGTAAACGTGGGACCCACAGGGATGCAGCGGCCAATAAAGAGAATCTGAGATGGTCGATGAGAGATAAATTCCTCGCATCTCAATGGGCCACGTCAGTGGGAACTGGGAAGAAGGGGGGAAGTTCTGAAGATCTGATTCTGTACATATCCGGAGCTCTGCTCCAATTGGCCGTTGCTGTTGTGGGACCCACCAAGTCCCAAAAATATCTAGAGATGCTTTGCCGTTGCGCAAGTGGCGCGGCGTCTCTAAGGCCAGATATTTTTGCCTCTGCCCGTAAATCCTACCCGTTGTTTTGCACCCACCAATCAGCCACGTGTCACGCGTACCGTGGACCAACCCGCCGCCCACTGCCCGATTCCTTCCGTTTCCGCCGTGGATTTGTGTCCTCTCAAACCTAGATCAGATGGTGGGAATTTGCTCTCTACTGGAATTGTTATGTCGTCACTAAAATAATAATGAGAAAATTTGCCACACCGATTATTAATTATCAAGTGAAATATATTCTTTCAATAAAACTGATTAAATATTTTATCTAATAGAATCTAAGTTTTGTTTTTTTTTTTAAATATATTTTTAGGAGTTCTCAAACTAGTTTGAGTAAATTTTAAAAAATCTTTAAATTGATTATTTTTTTAAACAACTTTTTTCTTTAATTTTAATCCAACACTATAATTCTTTTTTATTTGGAAGAAAAACACTTTTAGTCAAACACATACTTAGCCATAAAAATTAATACAATACTATGATTTCTAGACTTTCCAACGAACTATAATGATGTTTGAAGAACTTATTTTCAATAATAATAATATAATTTGCAAAATAAACAAAATCATAATTTATGATTTATAATTCATCTATGATGGTAGTCCTTAAACCTAGTTATGGAATTATAAATATAAAAAAAATTACTTCGTAATATGAGTTTAATATGTATTTAAAAATGTCATAATTTTTTTTTCAAATATCTATATTGTGTATTAAAGGTGCGTGCTCTCTATTTTATCTTTCTTTTTATTGGAGTTAGTATTATTTTTTATTTTCTCTCATTAAATAAATATCAAACTTTTTAATGAAATTGAAAAGTTAGATACCTGTCTTTTTAAGGAAAAGAAAAAACACGAGTTGAGACTTTGGGAAAGTGTATACATTCATACCGAATAAAATAAAACGCATAATGAGGAAGTGGAATACCATGTGGACATCATAATCCCTTTCATGAACTCGGAAGCACAGGCACTACAAGGGAGGCATATAATATATATTTATACATGACCAACTTTTCTTATTCTTCGTGACCAACCTTTCGTTTGAATGCTCTTGTAAAAAAAGGACAAATTTTGGTACCGTTGATGCCGGAAATTTGACCTCTTTGATTTCTAAGTGAAGTATTTAAGGTTTATTTGCTTACCTTTAGGATTGAGTTAGTGATTCTATTTATAGGAGTCTGGCCTTTTGGAACCTTGTCCTTGAGCCCATCTTCCAGTCGTCACTCGATCACATGGATTTGTGGACTGTGGCACCTCAACCAATGGGTGGTCGATCCCTGGTCGACGCCGAACCGGGGTCGGGACCGAGCCCCGGTACGCTCATTCTATCGAATTTTGACCTCTCTGGTCTGTAGAGGCCCATTTCCTTGGTCGGATCCAATCCCATAACAGGTACTATGAAAGTTCACATTCCTTTTTATTTACTGTTCGCCACATCACTTGTATATTAAAATGTTGCGGGATCCATTTATTTAATTTATTGTGTAAATATAAGGGTGTATGGTACTCTTGTAAAAATTTTCATATAAAGGAAAAAAAACAAAGGGAGAGAGAATTTTAATGTGTGTGAGGAGTTTGACATTAGTGGACCTTAAATCCACATGTGTATTTTTTTACCCTTAATTATTTTAGTCTATATATTTTAAGTTTAGCTTTTCAATTTATATATTTCTAAAAATTTTATTATCTAGCTCGTCTTTTATGCTTTAATGTATATTCTAGTTAGTCATATATATGTTAGCTAATAGCTCTATGATGAGATGTTTTTTAAGACGAATTATATTGATTGTAAAATATAATTCTAGATTAGGGTTTTATTTTTTATTTTTTATCTTCCAAAGTATTGAGATAACGCTTTAAAGCATTGTTTTAATTGAGAATAGATAGGCAATTTAGTTCAAGTGTGCAACCAATTATGGTGCCCTTGTAGACTTTTTATGGTTCGTTTTCACAATTCCAATCTAAGTAACACTTGTCACATTTAAGAATGATTAAAAAAATTTTAATTAAAATTTTAAAAATAAAATTGAAGTGAAAGATATAATTTAACCTTTAATGGATCCCTACCATCCTAAAGATTTGTGGTCACCAAATTTCATAGACTTAATTACAATAGTAATATGTATATAGGTGGGTTTTAATATTGGATAAGAGGTATATTTGAGTAAAAAAAATTAAAATAAAGAAAATAATACTCAATTAATTTAATTACAGAGTTATAATAAGCATATAAATCTCTAAATAGTGTGTGAAATTAAGTTTGATAGTTTTTTTTTTACTCGCCCCCTCAAAATACATTAGAGTGAATTTACTAATCAAATCTAAAAAAGTTATATCCCAATATATCACTATTATTGATTTCATTATTTAAATACATCTTCAAAACTTTTAAAAATTAAAAACAGTTGCAACGTAAAATTAAGTGGACAAATACAAATAATATACAAATTTCTATACTATATTTTGGCAATTAGTAATGAAATTTGAGTGCTTCCACTTTGTGGAGTGAAGAATGACCCTTCATCTCCAAATGCATCCTATTCTCCCACTACACATCTTTTCAATATTCAAATGTTTTTATAATAAGATTAAGTCAACTCCCACCACTTTTGAAAATAATATAAAATATACGATAGGATATGAACAGTTGGTCAAATATAAAGTTAAAATAACATATATTTTATGTTGACCACCTTCTTTTTTTCTCTCCCCTCTCTCAAGAATCCTTTGATCTCCTATCTTTATATATTGGTTGTAAAAGTAATTGCTTGAGTGAAAATTTTTCTTATTAAAAAGATACAATAGAAATTTTATAGATTGATTGATCCATCCTATTGTCTCTGCGAGAGACCTATATCATATATGTCTCTTAATATTCATAGACTATCATATATTAATTAAAAATAGTATAACTTTTCATTTGGAGTGTTTATTATTATGTTATGGCTTTATTATACTACTTCAAATTGGGACAGAAAAATATTAATTTTCGAATTTTTGTAATTTCATGACAGTTAAATATTGTTACGAAAACTAAATTTTTTTATTCAATGACCGTAAATAACGGTTACGAAATAGTATAGACGCGATTGTGACGGAAAAAAACGGTGATCTACGCATTTTTATAAGTTTTGTGAAATTCTATAAATGTCGTAAAAAAAATTTCAATGTTCCATGATAGTTCAGTCTCATAACCTCTTGGTTGGATACATATACCAATTATAGCTGAGTCGCTTTGGCATTTGATAGTTTGAGATTAAATGATGGAGTAAAATTCTTTCATTTTATACCCGTGGCATGATAATGACATGAATTGAATTATAAATTTAATACCCATATTTTATCATTAAAAAAACTATATGTTATATTTGTGTTAATTCCCTCTTTTACTGATTCTTTCTAATTTTGTCCATATAATTGAACTTATTAATTTCAATAAATTTTAGAGTGTAAAAAAATTATAGTATAGTAGTCTCACACTAATTCTTTATATTTAACACTTTAATTATGAACAATATTGACTATTGACAGATAAAGTAAGGGCCAACATCTATGATTTAGCGAGGTGGTGAAATTTTAGAGGATGAACTAAACTAAGCTATCTAAGGGGATAAAAATGTACGTTTTAAATTTTTAGGAAAAATTAATGTGCTCTTAGGTGACCTAATTGATAATCTAAAATTTATGCCAATTTATTAAACATTATCTTAAATTTATAATCGACAAATTTTGAATTCACGAACAATAAGGATATAGTTATTTAAAAAAAATGTATAATTGAGAAGTATACTAAAATGTAAGTGAAACTATTCCTACACTAGGAACTAAATTAAATAAAAAAAAATTATATTAGATACCAAAATATTATTTAGCTTTGAATAAATGACATGTATAAAATTTAAAATTTTAAGTCAAATTATAAATTTGGTCCCCAACTTGTAGAAAGTGTCTAAGGAGTCCGTAAACATTAAATTTTGCATCTAACAGGTCATTAAATTTTTAATTTTGTATCATAGTCGTTGATTCATTTGATATTTTTTTAAATAAACAAATATATAGACACAAAATTGAGAGTTTAGACACTAGCTACTATACACAAAATGAAAAGTTCACTATTTTATTATATACTGTTTAGAGGTTAGGAACTAAGCTTATCATTTAACCAAAAACTTAAAAATGAGAGTTAGATATGTGCGGGAAAATGTTAACAGTAGGAAAACAAAATTAACGAACAATATTTTTATAATGTATAACTATCATGGGTTGACCTAGTGGTTCAAAAGGGATAAAATAAATTATAAAAACTATAGTAGGCACCTATCTAATATTTAATATCATATGAGTTTCTTCAGCAACTAAATGTAGGATCAGACAGTTATCCTATAAAATTAATCGAGTTGCACGTAAATTAACTCTGACAMTCACGCATTAAATCGTTACAAATTTTAAATTATATATAAGAACTTAATTGTTAAATATTAGAATTTAGAGACTAAATTATAATAAATTAAAAAATATATTGACTAAATCGTTACTTCAAATACAAGATACGGAGACCAAAAAGTATTTTTTAACGTGAACGAGCATAAACTATAGCTCTCCTCTAAGTGCCATGATGTACATACATGTGATGCATATATGAATGGACATGCATGGTTTCTTGCGATGGGCATGACGCGGCACTACGCTTAGTCCCCAAGGCGAGAGGAAAATATCAGTGCCACGTAAGCACCCAACTGAAGCCTAGAGCCCTGCTAAAGATCTGTCATATCTTCTCTCTCTTCTCTCCTCTCTCTTCTCTCCTTTTGAACCAAAAGCTCAACCGCTGAAACAATTCAGTAAAATTTGCCGAAACAATTTTCAATCTCCGTTCTTACAGTAGTTCTTTCCTTCCACGGCCATCGGAGCTGCTTTTTCTGGAGCTTCTTCCACTGGAAACTTCCAGGTTTCTGTTTTATTTTGTTTTTTGTTTTTTAATTTTGTTTTTCTGTTCTTGATGTTAATCTGGTCGAGTGCTCTACGATGAAACTCTTACGGTTTTTGGTTCTGGATTTCTGATCCATTTCTGAAATATCTGTACCCTGTTTCTCCGTGAAATAGAACTCATCTGCTTTCTCACTGAAGATTTTGCTAAAATATTTGGATTGTAGTCATAAATTCATGTGTATTGTTATATTTTTTGTAATTTTCGGCGTATTTCGGTTCATGTAGATAAATTTTTGGGCTATTTGGTTTATTTAATGCTATAACCTCTGATTTTATGGCTCTCTCTGAACAGAGATCAGACTTCTGAATATTTTTCTTGGAACTTTGAAGACTTCGGTAACTCTGCAACAAATTCGAAGGGCAGGAAAATCGGGAAGCTCTGAGCCGGTCATACTTGTAAAATTTCTTTAGGGGAGCCGCCCCTGCTGCCTTCATTTTCATTAAATTTTTATTTGCACTTTTGCTAATAGGAATCGGGTGGCTATTTGGGATGTTGAGTTACGATATTTTGATTATTGACTGGTAGCGGTGTTGGATTTTAAAGCTTGAGGTCCATCTTCTGGATGGTAAATGAGAGATTGGCGAAACAGTGGGCTGTGCCAGTGAATATTTAAGAAGTAGACTCTGTCTTGTTCCATATGATGGCGACTTCATCTGAAAGGTGGATAGATCGTCTCCAGTTTTCGTCCTTGTTTTGGACACCACCTCTAGACGAGCAACAAAGACAGGTGAGCCTATATACCTTGTCCCCAATTCATTTTAGAATCCATCCATTTTTTTTTTATGGTTATGGCTTGCGGTTGTTGGTCTTATCTTTGTTAAATATTGCAATCTGGGAAAGTGATTGGTTTTCAAAAGTCGAAAGATGGTTTTCAGCGATCTAGAAGATGGAATATTAAGGATATTTTAAGCTGGATAACTGTCAGCTCTGTTCATATCATGTATATTTTTTTTATAGGAGCATCTCTCTCCTTTATATATTTGTATATTTGTGGAATGCATACTTGTACATATCCCTAAATAAAAAAAAATGATAAACTAGTGACAGTCATTTTTTCACATTTGTATAATTTTTCAAAGAAAAATATAAGAAACAATAATTTCTCTCTTACAAATATTATGTTATGGTAACTAACACTTTTATATAAAGTTTACATTATTGTTAATGTGTAAAGTATTTGTCAAATGTTTTAAGATATGATCACTCAGTTTGCACCATTGCTAACATGTGCTCTCTTACACCTTTGGCATTTAGGCTGAAATCACTACTTATGTTGAGTGCTTGGGTCAGTTCACATCCGAACAATTTCCAGAGGATATTGCTGAGGTTTTCCCCTACTTATTCTCTACTCAAATATTATGTTATAGAGAAATATACTCAATCATACTGATATTGATGAGAAATTCAAAGTTTTGTGGAGACTTTGGAGATCTAGTGTTTATGAGTGTAGCATATTAATGTGTACACTGATTGCAGCTAATTCGTAGCCATTATCCATGGAAAGAAAAGCGCCTTATAGATGATGTTTTGGGTAAGGACCAGCCTGCCTATCATTAGTCGTATTATGATCATTTCATTGCTATTAGTTGTTCTATGAGTGATTACTAGATAATTGGCTTGTACCATTTTAAACTATATCCAGCAACGTTTGTCCTTCATCATCCGGAACATGGGCATGCTGTTATTCTTCCAATTATTTCTTGTATTATTGATGGTACAATGGCGTACTGCAAGAGCGGTTCTCCCTTCTCGTCTTTCATATCCTTATTCTGCCCTGACGCAGAGGTAAGTTTAATAGAAAGCTTCCTACTTTATCTCTCTCTTTTGAGCTTAGATTAGATTCGGGTCGCACGGTATATGACCAATCACCTTTATTTTTCTCAAAGTTTGACGTGGTCTTCATGCTGTGGAGCAAGTTAGTAAAAAATCCTCATTACATATGCTATTTTCTTCAGCATGATTATTCTGAACAGTGGGCTCTGGCATGTGGTGAGATCTTGAGAATTTTGACTCATTATAATCGCCCCATATATAAGACGGAACAACAGAATATGGAAGGAGAAAGAAGTGGTGAGAACAATGCGACAACTAGTGACTCAAGTAATGTGCCACCAAGCCAGACACCTTTGAGTCAGGACAGAAAGCCCTTAAGGCCCCTATCTCCATGGATTACTGACATGTTGCTTGCGGCACCTCTAGGCATCAGAAGCGACTACTTCCGCTGGTAAGTGGTTATTTTACATGTGTTAGTATTTACATTAAGAAAAGTAGCAGGACTCTGGAGGTTAGCAGCCATGCTTATGCAATCACTGAAACCATTTTAGGATCCATATGTGCTTTACTTGTTCAGATTCATATTTAACTAGAAGTAATTTTCATGAGATGGTACAATTACAAAGACCCTACTCACTGGATAAATTCTTGGTTCATCATATTTCCCCTAGTTATTTAATCGGCAAGATGGAATAAATCTGTTATGGGACTTGCTTCTATTCAGAGGAGTTTCCAAACTGTCAGTTGCCTTTATTATTCTAGACAAAACCCAATTTCACTTTGAGTTTACATTTTTCACTGACCACCGTCTACTGTTTTGCAAATATCATTTTGACTTTAGTTCTCAGAATGCTGTCTCTGTTCATTCTTTTTTCTACTAGTGCAATGTGTAAGAGCTCCGTCATAATAATCATTACCATTTGTAGATTATTTTGAATTAAATTTTATATTTGCATATTTACATTGTGTCTATGTCTTTATGAGAGGAGTTTCAAGTGTAAATCATTTTTGAGAACCATTACTATGATTTATGAACTGAGTTCTTTAAATCACATCTTTAGCACATTGGATTTGAATTCAAACTTGGTCATGAGGTAGAAGAATTGAACATTAGAAATGACGAGGTTGAGGTTGAGCTTCAGGATCATGTGTTATTATATGATACTAAACTTATTACTAGTTTCATAGAGTTTAAATCCATCCGGAAGGAAAGAAAAATTGTTTTAACTGTTGAAGTCAATAAATGCTCTAAACATGATCTTGTTGGTCATATTTCCTGTTAGATTTACAATGGTTTGCATTCGACAGGTGCAGTGGGGTTATGGGTAAATATGCAGCTGGAGAGCTAAAACCGCCTACAACTGGTTTGTCCATTACCTTCTTAACAAACTGAATTAATTTTCTCAATTGATGTTACCTTTTTCCATTAATGTCTGGTATAAATTCATCATCTAAAACATTGGCTACTGTTCTATTTTGAGAGAAAGGCTTTACAATGCTATCTTCTTTTCTTTTAGCTACATCTCGTGGATCTGGAAAGCATCCGCAACTTGTGCCTTCAACTCCAAGATGGGCTGTGGCTAATGGTGCTGGCGTTATATTAAGTGTATGTGATGAAGAAGTTGCTCGTTATGAGACTGCCACTTTAACGGCAGCAGCTGTTCCTGCACTTCTACTTCCACCGCCAACAACAGCTTTGGACGAGCATTTAGTTGCTGGGCTACCTGCCCTTGAGCCTTATGCACGTTTATTTCACAGGTCAAATTTTAATTCGAAAGAAAGAAATGAATGATGTTTTTTAATCTTTGAGGCTTACCTCAATGGCATGCTCACATACTCTCTCTACTTAGGTATTATGCTATTGCTACTCCAAGTGCTACTCAAAGACTTCTTCTTGGGCTGTTAGAAGCACCTCCTTCATGGGCTCCTGATGCACTTGATGCAGCTGTTCAGCTTGTAGAACTCCTTCGGGCTGCTGAAGACTACGCATCTGGAATAAGAGTAAGCTAGTCTTAGTCGTGATATTGTTATATTTCTTGACATAATTTCCTTTTCTTTTCCTCTCTCTTAAGATTATTCACTTCTGTTGGAAATTTCGAAAGATGAGGGAACAGTAGAAAAGAAGGAGAAAGAAAGGCAAAAATTTATGTCTGCGAAGAAGAGAAATGCTCAATTATGGAACAAAACCTGCTACGCCAAGAATATTATGTTCAATTAGGCCTAAAAAAATTGCTCTTACTGGTACCTTTAGTTAAAATCTTAATCCTATAATGAAAATAAATTTTTAGCCATGTTAACGAGAATATTTCATGATTTTGAATCACACCTGCATCATGATATCCTTGGGATGCTGACAAGTGAGTAGCCTTTTATTAGGTCAGACAACTAGTTCTTGTTTTACACATAAAAAAGCAAGCCACCCAACCAACGACTGGAAACACTCTTTCTTTTTTTGGATAAGAAACAGTGGATGAAACGAAAGTTGAAAATTAGTTTAAACTTTGTTGGTTGATTCTCGGATGTCAACACTGTTTGTGCATCGAATGATTTTGACAATCTTTACTGCAGATGCTGGCTAATTGAGAAAACTAAAATTGGCACTCTCTTTTTTTGAATTTTCACTTCATATATTCTTAGCTTTCAAATTTAGGAGGGAAGTGCTGTTGGATGGGATAAAACAGATCTTCAGAAAACTTTGTTAATAACTACATATAACAGCATTCTTGTCTTGTTCTTAATTTGCAAACTTCCTAGAGTCTAAGATTAGACCAATGTAGTTAAGCACGTAAGAACTAATTTTATTCAAAAAAATATGGTGCCAATCCATAACTTCATTGAACCCAACTGCAGGGTTTCTTCTACACAAGAAAAGATTTAAATGTTGAGGTGGTATAGATATGGTTCGTCTCGCATGCTTGCATAGTTGGTAATCAGGTATACATAGTTATTGAATTCCAGGAATTTCCTAAATTAGATGGAAAAGATATATGTGATTGCAATTGATTGGTTTATGGATCCTTGTCTACGTTTCCTTTTTTTAATTTTTGTATGGATAAAATTTGATGCAATAGCTAATTGAATGGACATTTGTCGTTTTTGTACATCTTATTTGACTTTTCTTTACTGCAGCTTCCTAGGAACTGGATGCAGTTGCATTTCTTGCGTGCCATAGGAACTGCAATGTCCATGCGAGTAGGTATTGCTGCTGATGCTGCAGCAGCTTTACTTTTCCGCGTGCTCTCCCAACCTGCATTGCTTTTTCCTCCTTTGAGGCAAGTTGAGGGAGTTGAAATTCAACACGAACCATTGGGTGATTATATATCGTCGTATCGGAGACAGGTATCTATTGATCACTAGAGAGCAGGCTGAACTGACATAAAAATAGAACTTAGGGTGCATGTTCTTGTGTTACAATTATACTTTCTAACATTCAACCCAATTGGCTTATGCCAGATAGAAGTTCCAGCAGCTGAAGCAACTATTGAGGCAACTGCCCAAGGGATAGCATCCATGCTTTGTTCCCATGGCCTGGAAGTTGAATGGAGAATCTGTACCATCTGGGAAGCTGCTTATGGCTTGATTCCATTAAGTTCTTCTGCAGTTGATCTTCCAGAAATTGTCGTAGCAACGCCACTACAACCTCCCTTATTATCATGGACTTTGTATATACCACTCCTTAAGGTCCTTGAATATCTTCCTCGTGGCAGTCCATCCGAAGCATGTCTGATGAAGATATTTGTTGCTACCGTAGAAGCAATTCTCCAAAGAGCATTTCCATCCGAGTCTCCTGCAGAGCGTACAAGGAATCCCAAATATCTTTCTGGAATTGGCTCTGCCTCTAAAAACCTTTCTTTATCGGAGCTCCGGATGATGGTTCACTCCCTTTTCTTAGAATCATGTGCTTCTGAAGAACTTGCATCACGCTTACTTTTCATTGTGTTGACGGTTTGTGTTAGTCACGAAGCTCAATCAAATGGAAGAAAGAAAAGAAGAAGTAATAGTAGTAACTTTCAGGAAGAAAGGATCGAAGAAAGGATCGAGTCAAATCATGACATGTCCAGAGAAAGAAGAGGAACAAAATGTAGGATGAATAAACAAGGACCTGTAGCAGCTTTTGATTCTTATGTTCTTGCTGCTGTTTGCGCTCTTTCTTGTGAACTGCAGCTGTTTCCATTGATGTCACGGGGAAGTAAGAATTTGAATTTTAAAGGTTTGCAAGATATTGCCAAGTTGGTCAAAATAAATGGATCTTCTTTTGAACTTCAAAATAGCATTGACTCAGCAATTCGTCACACTCACAGAATCTTAACAATTTTGGAGGCTCTCTTTTCTCTGAAGCCTTCATCTGTTGGGACATCCTGGAGTTACAGTTCAAATGAAATAGTTGCTGCAGCTATGGTTGCTGCTCATATTTCAGAACTATTTAGACGGTCAAGAGCTTGCATGCATGCCCTCTCTGTTTTGATGCGATGTAAGTGGGACGACGAAATTTACACACGGGCTTCATCACTATACAACCTCATTGATATTCATAGCAAAGCTGTTGCATCTATTGTCAATAGGGCCGAGCCGTTAGAAGTGCACTTAGTGTCTCCACCAATTTCCAAATACTCCCGTGTGTCTTCCTCGGGCAGAAAGGCAACTCAAAATGAAGACCATGTCTACTTTGAGACTGGACAGCAATCCATTCCCAAATGTGAAGAGTCATGCCATGTTGGAGCAAAACTTGCATTTGAAAGAGCATCAGATTCAAATGTAGACCTGGAAAATACATTGGGCAAACGTATAGCGAGTTTCCAGTTAGATGCTTCTGAACTAGCAAATTTTCTCACGATCGATAGGCATATAGGATTGAATGGCTGTGCACAAATTCTTTTGAGATCGGTGCTCGCAGAGAAGCAAGAGTTATGTTTCTCTGTCGTTTCACTTCTATGGCACAAGTTAATTGTGACACCCGAAATTCAACCTAGTGCAGAAGGCACATCTGCCCAACAGGGATGGAGACAGGTGAATCATTCTTCAACTTCTACCAGCTTAGTTTAGTTAATGGATGTACCTATTTATTATTGTTGCAAGAGGAAAGACGCAGTTCCAGTGCGCATCAATAGCGTGTAATTAGCTGCTTTTTTTAATCATGAGTGTGCAATGACTCTGATTCAGATTGACAATATGCTTTAATTTTATAGGTAGTCGATGCACTATGCAATGTTGTATCTGCATCCCCAGCAAAAGCAGCCGCAGCTGTTGTGCTCCAGGTCTCTTTTTGAGTCAACTTGCTTATTGCCTAAATTTATTATTATACTATATTTTCATTGAAATTACCATGTTTCCTATTCTATCTTGGTCTTAAATATGTTAATGCCACCAATTTATTAAAATGGAATACAATGGGGACATATATTTATGGTACTTGAATGTATTGCTTTTTCTTTGTTGAATGCTTCATGTACTATAGTTATTTCTATTGCATTCTGGGAATGTCAGGCTGATAGGGAATTCCAGCCTTGGATTGCTAAGGATGATAGTCAAGGGCAGAAGATGAGGAAAATCAACCAGCGGATCATCAAATTAATTGTTGAACTCATGAGAAATCATGATACACCGGAATCTTTGGTAACTTTAGCAAGTGCATCCGACCTTCTTTTACGTGCTACAGATGGAATGCTAGTTGACGGAGAAGCTTGCACTTTGCCCCAACTGGAGGTGATATTGAATTCTGACCTCAAAGTTTTCATGACTTAATATAGGGGCATGTATAGGGAATGTTTAGGAGTAAAATCAAATTTAGTGCATGTACTGGACTTCAAGTAATTGTGAAAGCAATCTAGACTCTAGAAAAGAAAAATAGACAAAGATTCTGAGGGAGGGAGAATAATTGAACACTGATTATACATTTTATCTGTAATACTATAAAACTTGGTTGCCTATTGGTGTTTAAACGCCTTGTCTATATGGACAGCTCCTAGAAGCAACTGCTCGAGCAATTCGACCTGTGCTGGAGTGGGGAGAATCTGGGTTGTCCATCGCCGATGGTCTTGCAAACCTTTTGAAGGTATAAATTTTCTATTTTTTAAATGTTCCTTCAATAAATTATATGATTTGAGGACATGATAAACTTGGCTAGTTTACAATGCCTCTGAAATCTGAAATCATAGCCCTATGCTAAGGACGATTGAAGTTAGCTCTATGTTGTTCCTAATGTCAAATTGTCAATGAACTATGCATACAATGATAGGAATAAATTTGTCTATACAGTGTCGTCTACCAGCCACGGTTTGGTGCCTTTCCCATCCAAGTGCACACGTCCGTACTTTGAGTACATCGGTTCTTCGCAATATTTTGCAAACCGGTTCAGATGTTTGTAGATCTTTACCAAAGAACATGAATGGTGTCCACAGTCCATCTTTTCAGTACTTCAATACGGAAGCCATTAACTGGAAAGCTGACCTAGAAAAGTGCTTATCATGGGAAGCTCATAGTCGACTCGTAACCGGAATGTCCATTGATGTTCTTCATGTTGCTGCCAAGGAATTAGGCTGCTCTATTTCTTTGTGAAAGTTACTAGCTATTGGCAGCTCGGATGACAGGCTGAGAGGCTTACATAGATAAATAGTAAGTATTGATTGATTAGAAAGAAACGGGTTTTTCGTATTAGCTACTAAGCTTTCTCTTCTCACTCTGTTTGGTAAGTAAAACCTCATAATGTCATAATAGTTCCTTATTCTGGCCAGAGGTTGTTACTTTTTCATGTGAAGAGATGATCATGTACAGTAACGCTATGACAGGGCAACAAGTCTCACCTATCTTGTTTTCTAGTTATGTCGGTTTTGTACGTTATAAACCCGTATTGTTTCAGTGATTGGTCTAGCACATGTAATTTGAATCTTCTTACATCAAATGAATTAGAGTAGCTTGAACTTGCCAGAGTTCCATCTCTATTATATTTCATGTTTCTTCAGGTAAGTGCATCTGTTCCCTCCATTTGACTCCTAATCGACCTCAACCTGGTCGGTTTTGCAGCTATGGAAAATAAGATTTTTAAGGTCATATTTTGTTTTGTCATTATCAGTGTTGGTGTCGGTGTTCGTGTCATTTGATAGTTTGGTCATAACAGTTAATCTCCGGTTTATGTTTTCTTGGAACTGTAATCTAACCCCAACATTCAGTGACCCTTTCTTTTCCGAGTCGAGGCGGTGCTTCTACCATCAGCCAAAAGCATGCAGTGTGATCGAGATTATTGATCGGGGAGGCTCGAAACACAACGAGGGCCACTATGTATGCAAACAGGTATTACCAATGTGCTGAAGGCTTATGAGATACGAAGAGAGTACTGGTGGTTGGAGTTCTGGCTTTGATGACAATCAATTACAATATTGCAAGGTGAATTGTTCTCTCCCAGAAGATGTTTAGAGTATTGTTTTAGTAATTATTTTTTCATCACTGCTATAAATGTGGCGTCAAAAACTAATAAACTCAAAAAACAAACCAGAAGATGTTTAGAGTATTGTTTTAGTAATTATTATTCATTTGAAATAATTGAAGCTCGTTCTCAATTTTAATTTTGATATTAAAGTTCTGTTTTTTTTTTCAAAAATGATTGAGGTTTTAAATATTGTCTTATTTAGTCCTGAACCTTAATAATAAATGGCAAAACTCAACTTAGAACGAAGTTAAATGAATGTTTGGAAAACTAATCAATTAATCACTTTAAATTTATATATATATATATATATATATATATATCCATGAGATCATATATTTTAAGGTAAAAAAAAAATTCTATTTAATTCCTAAGTTTCAAAACTGATGGTTTGGTTTTTGATATTTAGAAAATAATTCTAAATTTACTTATTTATCTTTATAAAATAGTTATAAATTTGCTTATTTTACCGTTAATTTGACTACTTAATTGAGTTTACAAATATTAAATGGTGTGAAAATGTTAAAAAATGACGTGGCTTAAGCCTACGTAGCATCATGGAAGCCTTATGCACCCTCCCTTACGGCTTCCTCCCAAGGCCCCAATCAATAAAGTCCTGGCAGAACTTGTGGTGCAGATTCCCCGGCGAGCAGCAGAGATTGTGAAACAGATTGAGATTCCCCTGCTGGAGATACGCCGACGAGCCAGAACAGAGCTGGCGCTGGGAATCGAGAGTGTTGGCTGCTGGGAGGAGATTGGAAAGCACAGTTCTAAAGTCGTGTCGAATTGGGGGTTGCTTAATTCAGCTTGCATTTTCTTATCCATGGCGGTCAAAAAAGGGGTTTGAAAGGAGAGAAAATTGAAGGGCTGGGCTTTAGAGCTGAAGGAGGATGGGATACAACTGGAAGAGAAAGGAATAGAGAGGGGAAGACAATAAATAAAGAAAACTGAGTACAATGGGTATGTATGTTAAAGTAAATTTGTGATTAATGATATGGTTAACAGTTGGTTGGATAACGTTAATGTTTCTTCATTATTTTAAAGAAAAACGAATTACATAACTCTGACATCTATTACTTATGTACTGAATTTACTTATAATTTCAATAGTTTTATTATTGTTCATAACACCGAACATTTCTATTATAAGTAATAAACAAATACCCTATTATGTTGAATTTTATATTAATTAGCAAAGATGACCAAAGATAGTTACAATAAATAATGAAAATTCAAAAAGTACTTAAATTAAATTAAAATGAAGATTGTAGTATGGACACTAAACCAAGGAAAAATTAAAATATTTTTTTAACCAGATGACCATATCCAATAAATAACAAACATCATATATTTATAAAAATAAACTTTTTAAACATTTTTATAATCAATTTTGTATACTTTATATTTTACCCATAAATTTAAAATAAAATTGAGTGGACAAATATATTTCCAACAATTTATAGAAAATTTAATAAAAATAAATCTAAAAATAAATATTTGTTCAACAATTTAAAATGAAGATTTTATTTTAATCCAATGGGCCAGATGTCAAGGGCCTACAATTGGGCCAAGCTCAAAATGTCCGGAACAGGTATCACATTAGAGGGCAAATTGGACTTTTGACAGCTACAAGTAACCCTAGAGGAAGAAGAGCCCTGATATAAAACCCTAATTTTCGGCTTCTTTATGTTTCACTAGGCAAGTCGTTCGTCGCGCTGCAGCCTCTGAAAGAAGAAGCACCAGGACGAAGCCGCTCGCCCTTTGCCGTCAAAATGGTAAACCCTAATTCTCTGTTTGCTCCACCATTGTTCTGATAAGTGTTCTACTCCTTCTTGCTTCGGATCAATCTCTTTTATCTACAAGAGGTTCGTAATGTTTGTTGATTATCGATTCAGTCGTTGGTAGCGAACGAGGAATTCCAGCACATATTGCGTGTGCTCAACACAAATGTTGATGGGAAGCAGAAGATTATGTTCGCTCTTACCTCCATCAAAGGTATTGGAAGGCGTTTCGCTAACATTGTCTGCAAAAAAGCCGATGTGGACATGAACAAAAGGTATTCATCTTTCTTTTTATTTTCTATTTCGTTTGTTATGTTTGTAAGTTGTGCGGATTTGATGTATGTTGGTATTGTCATTGTTCTTCACGATATCATTAAGAGAAATGTTTCTGAAAGAGAGTTGCTTAGACAGGTCTTCATTGGATTTATGTTCTAAAATACAGTAAATTGTCTTTAGAACAGTCCCACAAGCTATTACTTGCTCCGAACTTTATGTCTGAATGGATTGTGTTGGTGTGGTGTCAAGATCCAGGGTCGTTATTAATTTAGGATGGTATTTGGTTAGAGTTCGAGACATGTGCAATAAGAAATCTTTATTCAAAGTTTGGCATATGATATTTACCGCTACGAGTTCTAGTTATTTCTTATTGAAATCGACATGTGTAGTTTAATATTCAGCATGTGTTGTTTATATTTAGAATGCTTGTTCTTATCTTAGGGCTGGTGAATTGACTGCTGCTGAGCTGGACAATCTCATGGTGGTTGTTGCCAACCCACGACAGTTCAAAATTCCCGACTGGTTTTTAAACAGACAGAAGGATTACAAGGATGGCAAGTACTCGCAGGTCGTATCCAATGCTCTTGACATGAAGCTGAGAGATGACTTGGAGCGTTTGAAGAAGATCAGGTGATTCTTATTTGCAATATATGTGTCTTTTGTAGTTAACTCTTTGATTTGCTTACATTGAATACATAACACAAGGCTACAACTCTTTATGCTATAACTATATTGTTCTTAGGCTTATTTAATTATAGAGCAATCGTGTTAAGATTTGAGATGTTAGTATGGTGTTATGAAATATTGTCCATTTTGAACCCTGGTGAATCTTTAAAGTCCCAGGTACGTTGGGTTATAAAAAGTCATAGTTCATCATTGTTATGTTTAAACAAACAAGTTGCCAGATTTTTGGACTTGCATTTTTTCAATCTCTCACCTTAAAATCAGTTAAAGTAACCATCTTCCTTCATGAATCTCGGTGTATACATGCACGTGTGTTTCTTTCATGTCTGCATAGGATTGGCAATTGTCTTTCCTACCTTCGATGAACGGGCGAGACACGGTGGTTGGGGTTATTTTATCTTTTATCCACTTTATCTTGTTTTTTTCTTATGGGGTATGGGAAGGGGAGGTGTGGTTTGTTGTAAAATTTACCTGACTTGTCTAGTACTCTTGGCTTAGTTTGATTGATGACTCTGGCCTTAATATATAGTGTGATCAATGCTTGTGCAGGAACCACCGTGGTCTGAGGCACTACTGGGGTCTCCGTGTCCGTGGTCAGCACACTAAGACTACTGGTCGCCGAGGGAAGACTGTTGGTGTCTCTAAGAAGCGTTAAAATCCTTCTCCCTTCTTTTTGCAAGTGATTTTATGTTGGATGGATGCAATAGATTAATATAATTAGTCTTTGAGATTGGCTTGGACCTTATTTTAATTTGGCTGGGTTTTTAAAACCTCTGCCAGGTTATATTTCATATCGGTCATTCATTTTTGCTCGTTATAATAGAGATTGAAAACCCAGTTGAGCTTTTTTTCCTTTAATTTGTCTATTATGTTCCCCATCTGCTTTGCAGTGTTTTTCTCCCTTTGTTGTGTGGGTTTTGTGTTTGTCTTTGTCTGAGAATACTTTGGCTCGTTATGGCTGGTCTTGTGCGAGTGATAGATCAATCTATTATACTTGGGAAGTTCGATTGCAACTTGATTAAATCAGGTCTATTGGTGATTCTGTTTTTAGAATTACAATTCAAATATGATTTGATCAAATCCTTATGTTGTACAAGGACCAGAGGGTTTAGAAGGAATGAGTTTAAACTATTGTGGATCTAAGATATTTTGCAATTAAGTGTAGTAGGGTTGAGGTTCGGATACTTCTGGATATAAATAAAATAATTTGATTAAATAATAGTTAATGTTTGAGTACACTTACAATTGATATTTGGGATGTTTAGTAAGAAGTGTTAAGCATTTAATGGCTCAAGGTTCTTTTCATTCTTCAACTAATTTCTTTTTATTAATAGCATGGGTGTCATGACACAATAACTAAACTGTTTGTTTATATATATATATATATTTCTTTTTATTAATAGGATGGGTACCATGACACAATACTATTTTTATTAATAGGATGGGTACCATGACACAATACTATTTTTATTAATAGGATGGGTATTTTCAATCATACTATTTTGACATCTAATAATTTCATTAAAAACTTTATTTCTAAATTTTTTTAGAATTGAGGATGTATTTTTTTGGGGTTTTGGGCTGAATGATGTTTTTTTCTTCTTATATTTGATATTTATGTTCTACTCAACTCAAAATAATAATAATAAAGTTTACTCAAATAAAATATACGCCGACAAAATAGCTTATTTAACCACTAAACTTAAAAAGTTAACTTTCAAAATAACTCTTTATAGATACCTTTACATAATATTTACATAGGTGAATCTTAAACTGGACAATTGAAGCACAGGTTTGAATTCTCTTCACGAAGCCAAGAACCAATTGTTTAAGATTGACTTTGATTGGAAGATTAAATTTTTAGGCTGTTCTCTTGAAATAAATGGGGTCAACAGCACAATTTATTTCATCTAAAAATGCAAATATAAATAGACGTCGGACACAATGAGCACAATAATTTCAATGAAATTTCTAACGACCAAAATTAGTAGTGTGATTCTGATGATAATTTATAAAAAATAAGAAAAAATGAAAATTCCAAGAAAACTTTTCCTATCCTGAATTACACAATGCCCTCTGAGAAACCGAATATCGTAAAGGAAAAAAAATGAAAATTAGAGAATTGGGTGAGGGGATGAATAAATATGAGAAATATGATCGTCATTCTAAACTCAGCAAATTAAATTAAAATTTCCTTTTGGAACGAGCCAAACTTCTTTAGACCTTCCCATCATGTTCGGTAGAATCTGTTAAACCGCTGTGTTTTTGTTGTCTAGCGGTCGGGAGCGAGTGGCTCCGACGTTCTTTTCCACCGGGTTTCGACGAGGCGTTACCATACCAGATCATTCCAATGACAGCTATGACCATTCCCAAAACTACCTGCATGTTAAGCCCCTCCTTCCCAAAGAAGAAAAATCCCATGACCAACACAAGGATCGTCTTCATGTGGCCAAGTACTTGAAACGACACAGCTGTGAATCTGCCTATGCAGATAAATTGGCTAAGATTGGTCCCCACGGCAATGGAACAGGAGAGGAATATAAAAATCTGAGGAAGTGCAAATGGGAGAGTTTTGAGCAACCAAATTCATGAAGCATAAAACTGGGGCTTAAAAGAAACAAGATCTAAATCTCTTGAGAATAGAAAGGAAGTTGTGGATACTTACGATAGAGGGTAAATTGTAGTCGTATTGGTCTACCCTTTTGACGGTCAACCAGTAGTCGAGAAAGGGTCCTATCAGTAGAAGTGATGCGGCCTGCGCTGGAGCAGTATGCCCCAACAGGTTGAAGGAACTAAGCGAATACTTCCGTTGGAGGAAATGCACATACTGCAGATCAAAGTTTGATTAAGTCAAATTTGGAAAAATGTTGCGAAATGACGCTTAGGAATATGATTGATTGGCATGTCAGTTCATACGGCGAAGATTTAAAGAAAATGTTAAGAGTGAATAACTCACGTATTGCTGCAGAGAAGTGCTCCATACAGCGATAACCGCAGCAACAAATCCTCTGGTATTAACACTGACATCAGTTACAGTGCACACTCCGACGCCCAAAAGAACAACTGCAATGCTCAACTTTGTGTCTCTGGAGTACCTAATCTTGTCCAAGACCACTTCCAATAAGCAAGATACGGGTATCATACTCAGCTTTGCAATCTGACAACAGAACAAGAACAATATGAAATTTCAGAATGGTTATGATGGTCTAATAAAAGAAAGCTGATTAAAAAGTTAAATTTACCTGATAAAATCCCACTGAATTCCACATCAGGCTAACATTCATTCCAACAATAGAAAAGTTGGCAAATATTACAAATTTAAGAAGCTCGGGTAGTGGAAGATGGGAGGGTTGAATATAACCAAGCCACCTTAGAATAACAGTCATCAGGGTGGTTGTCGCAAAATGCAAACCTGTCAAAGTTGTGGCTGCAAGGTATTGTTGGTTGCATCGTTAGAAACAAAGAATCAGCAAGCATCATCTTATGAATGTATAAATCAAATTAAATTATCACTTTATGACCTACGATTTTCCACCACAATTACCATACTTTACGCTACAAACTTGCAAGAACCATAGTCCATACCTACTTGTTCTAGGTCCATTTCCAAACTCGAGCACTTGTATTGAAACCATTTTTTGAGGGGGCGGAGTTCAATGCACCAACAAGAAAAACTCTCATTCATCAAAAGCATCAGTTAACCTCTCCTCAAGATCAATTCCCCCTGTTGCCCTTTTGATTCATGCTACTTCACACAATTCTCAACCAATTTCTATCTACATAATTCTTTTGTTCAAAATAATAAATGAACTGAAGCTCGCTTAGAAGAGATAACATTGTGGGATGACTTTATTTTGATAAAATGAATAGTTTTAAAAAATTCCAAAAACTTATATCCAGTTAACGCTGAGCAATCAAAATCAGTTGCAGCTTTTAATTTTGGGCACCTATCCCACATTTTTTGTAACTAAATCTATTTTTCATTTAAGCCACTTGGCGAGTTTTTCTATAATCTCCTTCGCTTTAATTGGGAGGATATTGTCTAATCATCCTATCATTTTTCCCCTTTTAGTTAGTCTAACAATTTCCTGTGAGAGAGAGAGAGAGAGCACACACACATATACATATCAGTTTCTCATTTATCCACCATTTTGTTTCATTGTAGCCAAGCCATGTGCATTCCGAGCAGACTACAGCTATGTTTCCTACTCCATTATTGGCATAGGCTGAAGATATAAATTCAAGTTTTGCTTTAAGAACGAACCAATAGTGTGAAAATTTAGGGCAGTGGATGGAGCTTGAGAATGTTATTATTTCTTAAGCCATCACATGAACAGCTCCAGAAAACAAACAGAAGTTCCTAAATAAGGTAGGAACCTTCTTAAAACAAGAAATGGTAAGGTAACACTGATAATTAAAACAGAGGATAATGCAGCAGATCATAGACCAGACTTGAGAAATAAGAGAACCTCACTAAACACTTAAGCGATCATACATAATTCAAGTAATCCTTAATCTCTATGTCCTAAATCAATAGATATGACGAACACGAAGAAGGTGACAATAGAAACAGAAGAGATGGAAAAACTTAGAAGAAAATATTTACCAAAGCTGAAGCCATATGTAGCCATGAGAGCTTTATTCACGATTATTATTCCAACAGAAGTTACAACGTTAAACATCCAAGCGGCTGCATCTACAGCCGCTTTCTTGTCAGCTTTGCTAGTCGGAGCCATGTTCACAAATCTTCCTTATACAACTTCCGTGAAAACCTTTATCCCTCAGCTTCCATGAAAATTGGATCACATCTACACAATTTCCATAGCTTACAGCCGAAGCAACAAGATATTCTGCAAATCCACAACAGTACTAAGTAAGAAACTCGAAAATTTCGGACAAATGAAACTCGCACTGATTACATAAAACAGTAGCAATTGCATCCTCATTAAACAAGTCGACAATACTACAACAGATCCAACCAAAAAAGTCCCGATCAAAGTAGCACAAAACACACGCCATCAGCCAAAACAGATCTACATAGGAAATCAGAATCAAACGTAAACACGGAAGATCCAAAGTCGGAGAATTCAGCAAAAGCAAAGCAGATAGATCCACGGCCGATTCAGCCACACAGACACAAAACCACAGTCCACCACTGCAAAATCGTATCGAAATTCAGAATTCATAATCAAGAAACGAGTAATACCGTCAAATCGATGGAAGCATGAGCGAGCTCCGCGAGGATATCTGAAGAAACGGAAAGGAACAGTGACAGAAACCAAAAAAGGGGCTGAGAAAACCGCAGAAGAAGAAGAAGATCAAAATGGAGAGCTGATTCGAACGGAAATCGTATGGATTTATTGAATGTGAGTGCCGTTTGTAAATCGAAGGAGATTCAGAGGTTTGGTTTTTGATTTGTGGGAAACGCCGGGCGGAAGTTGGCCAATGAAGGGCTCGTGGGAGAGGTGTACGCTTGATTTTGATGCCCACGATTTCCTACTTGGGCTTTCCAGGGGCCCACTTCCATTGCGTACTTATAGTGTGTTAACCTTTCACTTCCCATCTATTATTTCCTCAAATAAATTATCACACCTTTTTCTTTTATCCATTAAATCAAATTTTAGCTCCGTCGCGCCCCGATTAAACTTAAACTCACACGTAATCATCCGACTCTACTATATTTGATTGTTAAGGTATCTCGTAATGTATTATTTTGACAGGTAATCACCGTGGTTTGAACTCATTTCTTTTAACTATTTACTATTTACTATTTACCTTGGTCTATATTGATCACTATTCCAAATTATGATAGTTTTGATGGGGTTCTTTTGATTTATGTATTTTTCGCTTTGGTTAATTTTGTTTTTTTTTTACTTTCAAAACATTCAATTTGGTTGATGTACTTTTAACTTTTGTTTATTTTAGTTTTTATACTTTCAAAACGTTTGTTTTATCACAATACTTTTAAACAACATTTTGGCCCCTATTTGTAAATCTTGAGTATAATGATCAAAATAAATGTTTTGAAAATATATGGACTAAAATGAATAAAAGTTAAAGGTACATATGTCAAAATTGACGTTTTGAAAGTATAGCGACTAAAATGAACAAAAATCGAAAGTAGATGGACTAAAATAATATTTAAACATACAAATTTACACCTTCAACTTGTTTATTGTGAACTTTAAACTATTTCAATTACGTCCCTAAATTTTTTATTTTGATTCTAATGACTTTTGTGATACTTAAATATTAATGTGACATATTTATTGGATTGACGAATGGTGATTATTTATGATATGATATTTATTTAAATATTGATGTGACATATTTATTGGACAGACAAATGATGATTTGACATTATAGGCATAAGATAATAGACTAGTGGAATATAATAAGTCAACTAAAAATTAGTTCGAATTTCTATCTTACTATACTCAAAATAAAAAAAAAGTTTGGATAAAATAAAAGTGGTTGACGAATAAATTAGATTAGATAATGTAAGATACAATTTTTTTTTTGTATTTTATTTCTTTATACCAAATAAGTTTAAAGATACATTTTAATTTTGTATTTTATTTCTTTATACTAAAAAAAAGTTTAAGTCTTTCAAATGCATAAGAAATATTTAAATCATTCAATAGCATATATATATATATATTCTTTCCAAGCTTTTTACCTTGTTTTCCCCTTTAAAACTTTCAAATATCTATTTTAATTTTAATCTCCCAACTTTCAAAAGATTTTATTTTAATTTATAAATGGAAAAAGAAAAATTGATATTATTGTCATTAACTTTTCACTCCTTATTTAACCAGAAGAAAAAGTCGCGTGGAAATCGAATCCTAACCTATTATATGGACAAAAATTGGCCAAGATTTAGGTCAATTATCAAATGTAAGTTGAAAATTACCACATAAAGTGAAAATGTACTCAAGTTAATTACCACAGTATATTTAAAATTATTTTTAAATAGGTTCAAAATACCACTTTGTTAAATATATTTTTGGGATTTATTCTGGTCTATTTTCAAACGTCGAAATTTAATTTATGTAATTCCACTAAATTTTAAAATTAGTCTTCAATATTAATTTATGAGTAACATCTTATATATATAAAAAAATGGTTCTTATTAGTTTTTACTTTAGGAATTAGAAAATATGTTCCAACAGTGCTCTGTCAATTTAGATTAAATTTAACTTTTTTTATCGAGGATTAAAATTAACTTTAAACTAACGTAGAACTAATTTTAAGATCTATTCAAAGTTCAAAAACTAAATTCGGACATTTAAAAATATATGAACTTATATTTGTAATTACCTTTATAATTATACATTTGCTAACATTTTATACAATGAAGTTATAGTCATGGGCTCAATTGCTCTTTAGTTTTGTGATCGTTTTGATTTTTCTGTTTTTTTAATCTTTGATTATAAAACTAGGTGTGACATGCATCAATTAAATGCTCTTTTTTTTTTAACAAAATTTTTTGGTGTTAGAAAGGTAGAGAATAGGCAGTAAATGAAAGGTCTATTTGAACTGAAAAGGGAAAAATAAACTAATATTTTTATTCATAAGTAGGTTTGATTTGTTCGACAAAATAAAAGTATATAGAAGAATTAATAGGATATTAATATTGACAAACAAAATATAAAAGAGTAAATTTAACTATTTTTTTATATAATTCAACAATATAATATGAGGGGAAGATTTGAACGTATTTTGGTTGAAGATATATTAATGTACTATTTAATATAAAAACTTATTTATCCTTTTTTCTTAGGGGAAGAAAGTGAATAGAGATTAAAACCCAACTATAAGAAAATTATTAGTTATTACTTATGGGTTAAAGTTGAGCTACGTTATGGTGACAAATTATTCTATTTTTATATATAATTAAATTAATAATACATTATGAATAGGGGGATAGTGAGATTTTAACTGTGAGAAAACACTTAAATATTTTTTAAAATAGATTATTTAAAATCATTTTAAAGAGTTATAATAAAAATAACAAAAAATCATTCGAAGTCGATTATAGTTTGCGTGATTCTCGTTGTCCCATGTCCCCACAGAGTTGGTTGGCAACTCTCCACGCGTCGTATGAATGTAGACTTTGTGTGATATCAAAATATTCGACAGTTAATAAAGTATATTCTTTTTCCTTGTTTTTTTGTTTAAATAAAGTATATTATTATATTTTGTAAAATCAATTAAAAAAATTAAGAAAAAATACATTTTGGTAATTGAGATTTGAAGTATGTGACTATTTGATTCCTGAAATTTTAAAATAGATAACTTTCGTCCCTAAAGTTTGAAAAAGTATCCTAAATGATCCGTGAACACCATCTGACCGTTAGTTAACTTAATAGAATGCAAATTAATAGGTGATTGTATTATTCTAAATTATACTTTTAGATGAGGAGTAAAAAATAAATTTTTATATAATATGTTATACTAGGTGTCATTTTCTTTCTTTTTCGTCTCTCTTTCTCCATCCCCTCTCCTTCCTTATTCTCCTTCACCTTTTTCTCACCGGCCACCGACCACGGCCATAGTCATTGCCGCACTTCGTCGTTACTCGTTGGAGAGCACCTCCCTCTTCGCTGGATCTGGAACAGGGAGAGAGCTCACTCTCTCCAACGACGGCGGACAATCTCCCTCTCTCTTTCATTCCAGATCTGGAATAGGGGAGAAGGGGAGAGCTGGCGAAAGCGACAACGGCCGATGGGCGTCGGAGAGAGCTCACTGCCACCATCATCGAAGAGAGAGAATAGACACCTACTTCAAACCTCAATGACCAAAAGTGTTCATTTTGAAACTTGAGGACCAAATTGGCACCTATTCCAAACCTCAGGAACCAAAAGTGTATTTTTTACAAAAAAAAAAATATATATTACATTGTTAATTGATGTCACATTCTATTTGGAGCATGCATATTTTGAATATGAATTTTAAGGTTATCGACAACCACATTATGACAGCCTCATTCGATAGGTTTTTTTTTAAGTAAACATGTTAGATAATAAATGATTAAGTTTATCATAACCTTGAAGCTTTGGGTTCATGAATGATTTAATAGTGTTTGAGACGGTAGAATAATATTTAAGAAATAAGATGTGTGATTATACATAACTCAAATCGTCATAGCATTTTATTCAAAATGTTATAATATACAAAAAAAAAAAAGAGCATGAACTATGAGCCTCTAAGTGTGAAAAGAAAAAAATGAGTGTGAAATCAATTGTTACCCTCTTTTTAAGTACCAGACTAGATTATTTAAAAATATATATACATATAAAGACTAAATATCATATTAGTTAGAGACTTAGAGTTAGAGTACACAGATCAAAATTTTATTTTAACGTCAACGATGCCTGTTCATGGTCATCATTCATTTTATTTAAAATGTTATATAATATTGTTACAATCAATTTGAAAGGTTAGTGTTAAGTAGTGACTGACAATCTTTTTAGTACAATATATGGGTAGGAAATCGAACTTACAATCTCTTGATTGAAAATATATGTCAATTACTGTTGAGCTATATTCTATTTGGCAAATGATTGACGATTAAAGATGTGGAATTTTTTTTATCACTATTTTTTTTTTCAGAACTTAAAAGTTTTAATAGTTACTTCCATTTCCATTTTCCGACTGGAGCCTAACAACCATATTTACATCTACTTTTTTTTTTCTATCTCATCTTTTTATTTTTTTAGGAATTTTTCTATCTCATCTCCACATTGGTTATACTAAAAATATTGTTATTAGGTTTTAATTTTTGTTTTTTCCAAATAAAAAACAAATGATTTTTTTTGTTTTTTAAAATTGTCTAAGATTGTAAAATTAGAATTGTCATCTGATGGACTGTAGTGGCCCACACGTCCAAACACGATGTTTAACTGAATTATTTATTTAAGAAAAACTGTTATCCGATGGTGCAAAAAGTTAACAAAAATAATTATACTCCACTTTTCATAGGATTTTTATTTTAAATTTCTTTTCTTTTTTCTTCAATGATTTTTCAATTTTACCCCCACATGCTGTTTCATTTTACCAAATAGTCCTTCACGACGTTTGCATTCATATCAATTTATATTCCTTCTAATTCCATATATACCCTTGATCATTTATACATGAAAAACAGTCATTATTTATATGTGTCAGGGCATATTAGACACTCAAATTACCAGGTGTGTTGTGGGAGGAAAAAAAATTATATTAACCATTGGGATATTTTGAAAGATAATTTCTATAAAAGGATATATGTGAAAATTAATGAAACAAAAAAATTAATTTTAACATCATAGATATGATAAAAAGTACAACTCATGTTTATCCTATGATAAAATAAAGAGTGACACATAAACCACTCTTAATAAGACACGTGTCCCTGGCTCGGGGGCTCACTCTACCAAAGTGGGGAGGAGAAGGCTCATGTCTGATGAAGCAATGCTTAG